TGGTTCATCCATTCATTGTTATTCTTATTATTGAGAGAAGAATAAGATTGGTGAAGAGAAGGAGGAGGAGGAAGGTGGAAAGAGAAGGGGGAATTATCATTGGTCTTGCTGGTGTACTTCTTCTTCTTCTTCTTCTTCTTCTTCTTTACCTTTCCTTTGGTCTTTATCTCTTTGCAAGTGCTTTCATTTCTTTCGCAATTGGGTGGCGTTGTCTTTCATTGTGAATTTGCACTTGGGAAATGACCAGGATCGTAACAATTGGTATCGGAGCGGACTTACTTGCTAGCGAGAGGTGTTAGCCACCCTAAACCTAATTCCGAATTAGGTCAGGGCTAACCTAACTTCGGATTAGGGTTGGAAGTTAGGGTTAAGTGGGGCAGTGAGGTATGTGGATACTGCCCCCATCTGGTTAGGTCATGTAGGGTCGACATTTGACCTAACCAGGTTAACTGAGTGAATGGATGGGGTGGCGAGACACAAAGGAGGCTGATTGGAGTAAGCGAGAGGGAGTAGAGAGTGAAAGGTACTCGCACCTGGAATCTGCACTTCAAGAAGACATTGAGTGACTTTTGGGCTTCCCCTCAAGAGGGAGACTTGATCGGAGGCTGCCATATCTGCATCGGATTGCTGCAAGTTGCTACTTTGGTCTTCAGACATCGACGGGGGATCTGGCTTTGCAACAGGGGTGTAGGAAGGCCCTCGAAGTCATGCTAGGACACTTCGTGTAGTGGTAGCTAGGGGTCAGGAGGACTTATGAGAGAGGGGGGTGACTCGTTATCCATCTTTGGAGGCCGGGCCTCACAGGTAAGTGCCGTGTGACCTGGGTATGCCCGTGGGAGGTTGCTTGGTACTTCATGGCCTGTTGGGGGTGTGCTGGGCTCTCTTCCTCTTCTCTGTGGTCTTGGTTGTGTGTGTGAGCTTGTGGATTGCTTTCTCACCTGATGGATGGATGAAAGATGTATCTGATCTAAATGACATATCTTTCTACGGTGCATTGTCTTTTCATTTCTGAACGGTTGTAGGGGCAAGTTCTTGCTGAAAGTTGTCTTTTCCCTTTTCAGTACGGTAGAGGCAGCTTGGGACCGACTTGGTACCCCTATCACGTTGGTCCTGGTTCGCGACCTACTTGGGACCCCTCGGGACTCAGTGGGACCAGGCCCAACAGGACAGGACCTTTTGGGCCCAAATCTGTTGCCGCCGGTGCATTTCTCTGCTGCGCTGAACTTGGGGGACATACGGCTAGCAAGGGCATTCCTTTCAAGTGGATCTTGACTGGTCTTACCGCCTGTTATCACATACTGCCCCGCGTCTGACTCGGTGACCGTCTGCACCCCTCGAAATCTCCATTGCTGCAGTTAGCTTTCTTCGGCTGATTTATTGTGATTCATGTCCCTTGTCAGGGTAGACAAGAGGGGATCTCCAGCTAATCTGATCGGGTCCATTCTATAAATCAGTCCTCTCTTCTGTTTTATTTATTTTTATGTTATTTATTTATTCTTTTTCCGCTGCGTGCCATTCTCTGAGTTCAAATGAATTGCCGCTCCGGCTAGGAGTTCTACCTTCTTCTCTGAGTGATTTTCTGTTTGTTTCTTTCATCTGAACTATCTATGTCCAGTATCGAGATGCGTGTGCAGACAGCTGAGAGAGAGAGAAGGGAAAGAGAAGGTGTTCTGTTTGAGAGTGTGAGGAGGGGCAAGAGGAGTGTTCGTCCAAACGTAAGGAGAGAGCAGACCCCTCTTGAGAGATCTACTGACACCCCGTCCTCAGGCATGGCAAACATCACATCTGCCCAATGGCAGGCCATGCTGGACACAGCAGATGAGAGCAAGAGACCGTTCTTCCAGAAGCTTTATGATGACGTCGTGCAGAGGGAAAGGGAGGCAGCGGCAACAGCCAGAGCCGCCAACATTGTTGATCAGGTGGCCCTCCTTCGGATCCCGGAAGCCAATGATGACCGGTTCCAGGAGGGACTAGCTGCTGCCGTAGCAGCCTTGGTTCGACTGCGGACCTTAGAAGACCTTGAGTCCCGTGTGACAGCACTAGAGCAGCAAAACCAAGAGTTGCAGGCTGAGCTACTCAACCTCAAACAGTCCCAACTGTCTGCCCCACGCCCTCCTAACCCTCGACCTATTGCAGTCCCAGTCTCACAACCCAACATAGTCCTCATGGCAAGGGCAAGTGGAACTATGACGAGCGCAAGATCCGGTGCCAGCTCCTCGAGCGGTAGCGCCGGCAGTTCTGCACTAGTCATAGTCCCAAAAAGGCAGGGACATCAGCCCAAAACGCCGCAGTCCTTACTGGCGTTCAGTACAGCGGTCCCATAGTGGACAAGCGTGCGACCACTCTGTCGTCCAAGTACGACGGGAAAACAGACATTACCTCTTGGATTAGTTCCATGCGGTCATACTTCGAGGTTATGAGGACACCGCAAGAGGACCGAAGTATGATCATGGGGACTAATACCGAGCTCGCCGTACGGAATCACATTGAGGTCCAAGCTGTTGCTGCAGGCTATGAACGAATAGACCTGACTGAATGGTTGAAGGTAACCCCAGTACGCACCCTTGAGGACCTTCTCCTCGCACGATACCAAGACAAGCATGCTGCGCTCAAGGCTAGGCTGAAGCTTGAGGCCCTCAAGGGTCAAACATGGAGGTCCTCCATGCAAACTTTGGAACAACACTTGACTGGTCTGTTCACTACTCCAGATGTGGGAATAACTGATGTGTCTTGTATGGATGTAGTCATGGGAGTGGCCCCGAAAGAATACCTYTCCCTGTTGGCACTCAAAGACCATACCACCTGGCGAGAGCTCATGACGGATCTAGTCAACCTAGAAGCCAAGGACCTCGCCAGGCGGAAGAAGGCGCCCGCTGCAGGTGGGAAACCACAACGCAAGCGGTTTGGAAGCAGCAACCAGCTTGCACTGCATGATCATCGGGAGGCTGAAGATCAGTCCTATGCGGATGATCTGTCTCTAAATGATGATCTAGAGCCGGACCTCGATATGGGTTGTTCCACATCAGCCATTGAGTCTGACGTCAACGAAGATGAAAAACTGAATGCTTTTAGAAAGACTGCTTCAAACAAGGGGCTCAACCGTGGTTCGAGTAGGGGAACTGTTGTCCACCTCCCCAATAACGCAAAGATCCTTGAGAAATCGGAGGATGCATCAACCAAGCCTTGGGAAGCCCTCCGTATCAGTCAAAAGGAATGGGAAAGAAGATCTAAACTGCGCATATGCCTGCATTGTCAGAAGCCTGGGCATGTTGTGCAGGACTGTTACAGACTTCAGGAAAACAAGCAAAGGGCGTAGAGGAGTCATCAGCACTCCCTACGACAAGGGAAGTCGGAACATCAGTTGCATGCTCCTCTAATCAGCCTGAATCTGATCAACAGCCTACTCTTGAAGCCCGGAACGACGTTGATCCCAAGGCTGCTGCAGTTCATGTGCTTTACACTGAGCCTTAGGAGGAGTATAAGGAAGTTGACTTCCACGCTCACATGGAACATTGGCTGCAACTCAACCAGCAACGCCGTGTTCAGGCGAGTGTGGAGCTAACCTTCTTTAAACTGCTCATTAACCGCCGATACATTTGCGTGCTGATTGGCAGTGGTTCAACCACTAATTTCTTTTCTCCTAACGGGATTCGTAAGACGGGCCTGGGAATGAAGCAAGTGGAACTGCAGAACCCTTGTCAGACCCAGGTGGGCAACCAAGAGGTTGTCACCTCTACACATGCTGTCAAAGGTGTACGCGTCACCTTTGACAAGGACCGCACTGTCACACATGAGCTCAACTTCTATGTCATGGACAAGTGTCCGTTCGACGCGGTCATTGTCTTGGGTTGGTTAAAGGCTCACTGTCTAAGGACCATGTGGGCGGACAATCAGTTCGTGGTGCGTGATGCCAAGGGGAACGAGCGTACCGTCCTATTGGATGAGACGCGCGAGTCCCCTTTGACTCTTCTAAGTGCGAACAAATTATGCAAATCAGTGCGCAGGCGCAAGGAGGTTGAGCATATACATATACCCTTTGTAAAGCCTCTCCATGTGCCTTCTACTTTTGCTGCATTTTCTACCTCGGTAAGTAACTCTACTTCTAATCCATCTACTTCTACTGTGAATAATCCCTCTACTTCTGATTCAAATACTTCAAATCCGGTTGTAATTGTTGTAAATTCTCAAACTGATTTTCTTTCTCCCGAGGAGGATGATCCTCCACCGGAAGTCCCGGCAAACATTCGCCAACTATTAGATCGATTTTCTGAAGTTCTGGCCGAACCTCGTGGAGTTTCCGATCGTCCGGTCAAACACAAGAGCAAGATAATAAAAGAGAGTGTTCCTCCAAAGGGCTGCGTCTACCGTATGGGACAAGGCGAGTTGGAGGAATTGAGAAGGTAGATTGATGATATGATTGATCGTGGATGGATTAGTCCCAGTGAGTCTGAATTCGGTGCACCTGTCCTGTTTGTGCAAAAGAAAGGAGGCAAACTCCGGATGTGTATTGACTATCGTGGCCTTAATCGGATCGCAAGAAAGAATGCTTACCCTTTGTCTCGCATAGATGATCTACTAGATGCGGCAGGTGGGTGCAAGGTCTTCTCCAAGATTGACCTCAAATCTGGTTACCACCAGATTGAAGTTGATCCGAGTGACCAGCACAAGACTGCATTCAAAACACGCGATGGGCTGTACGAGTTCATCGTTATGCCCTTCGGTCTTACGAATGCACCGGCCACATTTCAGTGCCTCATGGACAAGGTACTTCGCCATCAACTCAATAGGTTTGTGGTTGTGTACCTTGACGATATCCTGATCTTCAACAAAACCATGGAAGAGCACCTCAAGCACCTTGAGGAAGTTTTGCAGGTCCTCAAGGAGGCGCAACTGCACCTCAACTTAGAGAAATCTGAGTTTGGGAGGGACAGCGTCATCTATCTTGGACACCGGTTGTCTGTAAACGGCCTTGAGCCGGAGGCAACCAAGGTTGAGGTCATCCGAAACTGGCCTCAACCGACAAACGTACGCGAACTGCGTTCTTTTCTTGGTCTGGCCTCGTATTACCGGAAGTTTGTGCCCAAATTCTCTGTCATTCCTCACCCTCTCTCAAGACTAACCAGCAAGAATGTTGCCTATGCATGGTGTGAGAAGTGTGAGATTGCGTTCCAAGCCTTGAAAGAGGCATTGGTGAGTCATCCTGTGCTTCGCATTGCCGATCCCAACCTCACTTCCGTAGTCACTACAGATGCGAGCCAATTCGGGATTGGTGTTGTGTTGCAACAAGATGATGATGATGGCCTGCGTCCGCTCGAGTACTACAACAAACGCATGCCTAGCCATAAGGTAGCTACTTCCACATATATGTGTGAGCTTTACGCCTTGCGCGAGGCTCTCGCACATTGGAAGCACTACCTCTTGGGTCGCCACTTCAAGGTTTACTCAGATCATCAGACCTTGCGGTGGATTCAAACACAATTTGAACTCTCTCCTACACTGACCCGCTGGTTGCATGACATTGATGTCTACAACTTTGAATTGAAACACAAGAAAGGTTGTTATAACCGGGTTGCTGATGAACTCTCTCGCCATTCTGAATGTTTAACTTGCCTCGTGGGTTCGTATGACCTTCGAAGGAAACTGAAGGAGGATCTGGTCGAACACACCGCCAAGGATCCGGACCTTAGTCCCATCCTTGAGCAGCTCAAGGCTGACCCTAACAGTCAGCCTGATTTTCATGAATGCGGGGGTCTTGTGTTCCGCCGGTATGGGAAATTTGATCGTTTGTGTGTGCCCAACCATGCGCCCCTCCGAACTCATTTCTTGGATTTGGCACATGATCGGAGTGGACATTTCGGCTTTGAGAAGACTTATGGAAGTCTTCTGCAGCAGTTTGATTGGCCAGGGATGAAAGGAATTACTCAGAAATTTATTGTTGAAAGTGAGGTATGTCAGAGAACCAAGGTCCACAGACATAAGCCTTATGGCGTGCTAAGACCCCTCCCCATTCCTGATGGACCCGGTGAATCGATCTCCATCGACTTCACGGACATGGGAAAGGTGAGTGAAGCAATGAATTCACAGGTCATGGTCATCGTGGATCGTTTCTCCAAATTTATGAATCTGATTCCTATCCCTCCCCATGCACCAACCGAGCTTGTCATCGAAGAGTTCCATCAGCAGTATATTCTGCAGTATGGCCAAACGAAAACCATTGTGAGTGATCTGGACACCCGATTCATTAGTAAAGATTGGAATAACTTCACCTCTTAAATCTATGGCATTAAACTGAACAGGACTTCTGGTCGACACCCCGAAGCCAATGGATTGGCCGAGGAGATCAACCAGACTGTCATCCAACTACTTCGCGCATTGATTGTTCCAGATATGAACACGTGGGAAAAGGAGCTGCACAAAGTGAAGGGGTTGTATAACAACTCCATTCACTCTGCAACTGGCGTGACACCAAACCAGTTGCAATATGGATGGCCGATGCGTAACCCCCTCTCCTATCTGTTCCCTGAACGGTCACCTGGTCTGATGCCATACATGGCTGGCTACAATGCCACGTACACACGCTTGCTCAAAGATGTTATTGTAGCCATGAACAAGCGTCAGCATGCCATGATCAAACATGCTAACAAGTTGCGCAAAGAAGAAAAATTCAAAGTAGGGGATTATGTTTGGGTTAAAATGTCTGAGTTTTCTGATGAAGAGGGCATATCACGAAAACTCTTTCCATTTTACTATGGCCCTTGGCAGATTCTGAAGGTGGTTGGGGATGATTTTGGTTCCTTCATATGTGATTGGCGTGCCTCCTCATCTGCGCACGTATCCCATGCGTCCAAACTGTTTCCACACATTGATGATGAGACGTTTCCCTTCCAAGACCCTATGATACCTCGCCCTATTGACGGGGGTCATGAGATAGACAGAATCGTTTCTCACGAGGGAAGAGGGAGGAACAGACAGTACAAGGTTCACTTCCTCTATCACCCGTTGACTGAGTTCTTCTGGATCGACCAAAAAGAGTTGCTAAAGAGTGCTCCCCGTGTAGTGAACGCTTATGAACGACAGATCGCTGAGGGACACACTCCTAAATTTGTTGCGACCATGACTCCTCACGGAATTACTAAGTCTCTCCTTCTGATTTACTCATATGACGCATTTTGTGCCAACTCTGAATGAGTTACTCGCTCGAAGGGACCTCGCTCTTGAGAGGGGGATAATATAATGACCCGCCAAAAACACAGACTGAGAACACTGCTGATTTCTGGGATTTGCTGCTGGAATAAATGCCTTGCTGAAATTCCCGCATTCTGCTGTGATTTCCATGTCTGTGTGTGTGCGTGCCTGCTGGTTTGCATGCCTGTCTGAGTGCTTGTTGGTTGAGTGTGTGTATGACCCGCAAGGGTACTCGTTGGTTGAAGGGCCCCGCAGGGCCGGTACTTACCTGTGGCCGTGACTTTGAGGGTTGCAGAGGGGGAAAACATTCAAGTAGCGGGGGTAGGCCCGCAACACTTAGAACAGCGGGGAAAAACGCTCAAGTAGTGGTAGGGTTGTCGGGTACTGGAGGCCGAGCAGAAGAAGACAAAAAGTTGGCATTTTTAGAGGCCCAGTAGCGGTAGGATAGCGGTAGGCCGGTACCAGTCCAAGTAGCCCGGGTCTAGGGCCTGTAGGGAGGATAGCAGAGCCTGCAATGATGTTTCCCTCTGAAAGGGAGGAGGTATCGGTTGCTGGGAGGCCGCTCGGCCTAGGAAGTCACCGCCCAGGAGGCCGGTAGGCCGCTATATCTTCAGGAAGAGCAAAAGCTCTTCCTCATTTGCGGTGTGCAAGGATTGGCAACATGCTACTGGAGCGCAGCGCTGGACTGAGGCAGCGCTGCTTGGAGGTGAAGGGCCGCTGGAGCTCAGCCTGACTATGGCGAGCAGTCCAGCTTGAGGTCCTGGAGGAGGAAGAAGGGGGCATGGTAGGAGAGTGGCGGGGCACTTACCTGGCTATGGAAGACACCATCTTCATCACCTTGTTAGGCGCTGCATCTGGAAGGCCCCAGTTGGGGTAGTGCGGCATCAGGGAAGCTCGAGGCAGAGTCAGACATAGCGGACCAAGTCAGCAGCGGCATAGCTGGTTTGTGTTGTCCTTTGGATATCAGCGCAGCGCCATAGCTGCTTGGGTTGTCCTTTGGACATCAGCGCAGCACTCTAGCTGCTTGGAGTAGTCCGCCATAGCCTATGCATGAGAGAGGAGGCTGAAGGAGGGAAGTCATAGCTATGGTGGACTGATTGTTATTGTTGTTGTTGTTGTTGTTGTTGTTGTTGAGTTGAGTCAGCAGTAAGAGGGAACTTCGGATATTGATTCTGGTTCATCCATTCATTGTTATTCTTATTATTGAGAGAAGAATAAGATTGGTGAAGAGAAGGAGGAGGAGGAAGGTGGAAAGAGAAGGGGGAATTGTCATTGGTCTTGCTAGTGTACTTCTTCTTCTTCTTCTTCTTCTTCTTCTTCTTCTTCTTTACCTTTCCTCTGGTCTTTATCTCTTTGCAAGTGCTTTCATTTCTTTCGCAATTGGGTGGCATTGTCTTTCATTGTGAATTTGCACTTGGGAAATGACCAGGATCGTAACATTAGTCAAGTTTGGATCTGATGTGTCAGGTCATATCATTGAGTGTTTCGCTGCGCTACATTGCA